ATTTTATTAATTAAATATATTAAGCCCGTGTTTGAACATATTCTTTGAAAATAAATTATTTCATAATTCATTTTCAATCATTATTTTTCAATAAAATAATATTTTTCTACACATTAATAACTTTTCCTTACTTTTTAACCACATATTTTCCATCATATCATTATTTAAATTACATTATTTTCTCAATAATATTCATCAAACATACTCTAAGGTCACAATATTATATAATTTATTGTCACATTTATGTATTAGTCACAATCACAGGTGACACAGTCACAAACAACAAATTTTGTAGACCACAATTGATTTCTCTGTCACAAATTAAATAAATTAATTGGTCACATATTATTTTTTTGGTGACAAATCTCAAATTTTATGAATCACAACTTATTTTATGGTCATAAAATATCAAATTAATTTATTAAAATTATTTTTAGGTCACATGTTATGAAATTATTGGTCATAATTTAACAAATTTTTAGGTCACGTATTATTTATGAGTCATAAATTATTTATTTCATTGGTCACACATTAATCAATTTATTGGTTACAATCAACAAAATAATTTGTGACCATCACTACCTCCAACAGCACCATCACCAACATCACTGCAATGACGATGATAACAGCCAACACCACCCTAAATACCACCACGACGGCTGCCTGTATCAACTACCACCACTGCCAGCTCTAGATCTACTACCAGTAGCGTTAGATCCACCAGCACCATCGCCAATAAAACCACCGCAATATCACCAAATCATGGAAATCACCATCACCACCACCACCACTATCGCCAACACCATTGCCTACACCACGATGACCACCGCAACCACCAATTGCACCACAACTGCCATCAACACGCCATCTGCACAACTCAAACTCAAGCTAAACAGATCCAAAATCAGAGTAAAACCACAAAAGTATCCCAGTCGAACCAAAATCAATTTAAAACCACAGATCCGAAATCAATTTAAAACAACGGTGATTATGGCATCATTGCCGACAGTGAGCAATGTAGCGACACTGTACGGCGCTCTCAAAGCAACGTTGCTGCGACGGAGTCGCAAGCGCTGCTGAAACCGTCATGAGTCCAGCGTCGAAGATTCTCCAGTGGAATCAAAGCAACTGGTTTGGGAGAGAAAAACAGCACTACATGACAGGAATAAGCTGATAAATACTCCTTTTTTTAATAGAAAAACAGCACTACATGACAGGAACTAACTGCTTCTTTCTTCCTTTTTTTTTATCCGAAACTAACTAAGAAAACCGGAAAAAACTGCTGCTACTACTGTCATACGAATTCTTGTATTTTTTTGTTGACAGCACAACATGACAAGGTTTTTTATATTTGAAGGTAATATTTTTTATTGGATGGTGGAGATTGATGGCGTCTGTGGACGGGATGGGTGGTGGCAGGCTATGGGATGGAAACTGTTGATTGGGATTTTGAGGTAGAATATGGAATGCAAGTTGCAGCATTTTTTATATGGAATGGAGTGGATGGTATTATGGAATGGATGAAAACGATCGGTGAATTTTTGGACTTGAGAACGAGGATGTCTGGTTAAAGGAAAACGAATTGCTTTGATACTAAATTGATGCAGAACGCACATATTTTGACAATGAACAATTGGGAATAGAAGAAGAAGGGGTGCAAAGAAGAGAAGAATTGAGGGTTGAAGATCAATATTTATTTATATATTCTGGTTGTGAATTACAATGAATAAACATTTTACTTATAGAGCAAGAAATTGAAAGAAACTAAAATTAAACGAATTTCAATTAATCTAGAATCTTATCAAAATAAACAAACTAAACTAATCTAATTAAAACACTTATAATTCAAATTAAACTCTCTATTAAAATTCTATCTAATTTATTCTTTATCTTATCCTAATGTCCATCACATGAACTCCAACTAATGAAGAAAAAGTAGAAAAATAAACCATTGTAGATACTGTATGCACTTTATGTCCATTTTTGTCTCTCATTCTTTCAATACATCCACACAATAAAATATTCTATACGTAAATTCAAAAACTTTCTCTACTTGTTAACCACACATTCTCTAAAAAATCACTATTTAAAACAATATTTTTCCAAAAAAAAAAAAAGAAATTGCCACCAAACAGGGGCTATAACGATGATCGAGATCCTAATAAGAGTTAAGACAGTCTAGTCGAAAACCAGCAGTGTTTTTTTATTAACTGTAATGAATTAGAATTCACTTTTTTACTGATAATTTGAAAGGGTAAAGAATTTATATGGTAATAGTTTGCAGGTAACAATCATTAACTTCAAAGTAAGCGGCATCATTGTCATCTGGATAGAAACTCTTTTTAAACAATGTAAAATAGTCATCTTAGAAACCATGTATTATTCTACCGAAAACGTCGAATTGGCCAGCCTAATTCACCATTTGGAAGTTCCACTGCTACAGGCTTCATAAAACAGTATCCAGTTCTTGAGCAGGAACCCATAATTTCTCTCCTCATGACATGGCCAAAGTTTTCATGTCTTTCAGTTTTTCTCCTGATATTTTGCCTTTTTACTGGTATTGGCATGGCATCCAAACCCATAAGTTTGGCCACGGCCCCGGGTTTGCACCAAATTACACGTTCCCCTGCCAACTTAGGAGGCAAACAGCGAGTTCTCTCTGCTTCTAAGTTATAACCATGGTTCCGAGATATTGACTTTCTTGATCCAGAGGCCAGGTTTTGAAATGAAGAACGATACATGGAATCTTTTCCATCTAGCGAAAACCGAGGGTACTGATTTAATGCGTTCCTTGCAGTTCGCAGAATATCAGAACTATTAACACACGACATCCGGTGTGGGATTCCCCTATTATCATCATCATCATCATCAAGTTTTTCTCTTCTAGCCATTTTCTCTTCCAAATCTAACTGCTTTATCATCTCCTCTAAGGTTGCGTGCCTTCCCCCCCGAGTATTGCTCTCCAAGTTACATGGATCAACTTTTTGCTGGTTGAAGGTTGCAGTCGAGGCATCGCCATTGCAGAAGTTTCTGAAGCCTTTCCTCATTTTAGCACCCAGAGAAATCTTTAGGAGAAAAAAGGACAAGTCCCTCATGGCTTGGTTCTTGTTTCAAGAATCATGAGAATAGTGAATTTGAGGTTAAGCAGATAAAGAGCTAGAAAATATGGGTGGTGAATGGAGGAGTCAATACCCAGCGGTGTGACTTCTGTTACATAGCTTTAAAAGCTCTCACATGATCAAAGAGTATATTTCACAAGTTTCCTCACACTAAATCCCTGAAAAGCTCTAAAGAGACTAGTATGTTGAGTGCTTTCATTAAAAACCTACTTTCAAACTCAACAGGGACAAGCAACTAACTTCACATTTTGTCCTTCAAAATCATAGCAATCTCATTCAAAATTCTTTACGCTATTACAAAAATATTATCAAACTACTATTGTCTGGATTGGACGTCACCAAACCGGGATAAACCATATCCCAAAAAATCATTAAGGGCTCGTATCATTTCAATACCCGAAAACAGAACTATTATGGACCAACTTCCCATCCATTGATAGGATAAAATCATCAGATAACATAAAAGTCGCATGAGCATGGTGGCTACACAATATTATGCAAATAAAATGATGTAAGATATATATACATACGAACATAGATGTTCATTCCGTTCACAACTCATTATACATTTGAAGCTTCACTGGCCGCCTTGACAAATCGACCCTTTACTCGCTTCCTAGTATCAGCTCTTGCTTTTCTTGATTCGTACCGGATGTGCTTATCATATCTATTTACAATATGTATCATATCAGAAAGGCACACTGCGAATTCATTGAAAAAAAAAAATCCAATGAAAGGGAAGACGTACCTTCGTGTTTTCTTCTTTTCTTTGTAACGTTGCATAGCATTCCCTCTGTTCTTGGCCAAAAGCTCCATATCAGCCTTAGTTATTGCAGCTGTGGCACGATCATTTTTCACCAAAATAGACTGGTCCATAAAATGGACATTTTTTGAGACAACATAGGATTTCAGTTTAGTATATCCAGAACATGATGATGGCCTTGATGCTGGTAAGTTATTGCTCTCAGATGTTGCAGGCCCCGGACTAACTATCTGGTTCTACATTTTTTATGAAATACGTTATAGTTTTCAGGTTTAAAGTTGTTATCTTATAACACAAAGTAAAAAGAGTAAAAGACAACAACAAAATGGATTGTCAGCATATAACATATTTTGACACATCAAAGGATCATCAAGTTGAATTAAACAAGGCTTTTGCGAGCTTCTTGTTTGCCAAATATGAAGTGAAATCATCAATTGAATGAAAATATGAACAAAATAAGTGGTTACCTAATAAACCATTGACATTATTCGACATTTTTTATAATTTTATTATCATGATGATCGATTAGTTGAGGTGAAAATTAAGCGGCGATCCTCAACCTATTAGTAATGTGACAATTGGAACTCCAATCTTTATTTCTAGTGGATGCCCAACTTTTCAAGTTCTTGTGGCAAATGATTGCTGAGCCATATGAGTTATGAAACTCTCAAGTACGGTTTCAAGGAAAGGAACTAACCTACTTATTTTGACTTGGGAGAACACGCCATTCGACAGGGAGCACACTCGGATCCCTATTGGATAGATTTTTTATATTTCGACCAAATGGACAAACTGTCTACTGGGACCCAACATACTTGTAAAGTAGGGTACCACAAGGAAAAAAAATCAAAGGTCGAGGACCCCGAATGCTACATTACCATAAGCTGGGGACCACCACATTAATTTCCCCAATATAAAATGAAACTTCTTTCGAAAAAGAATTAATAAAAAATGAGACTTGGACAAGAGAAGTTGTCAAGTTGACGTAAGGAAAAATAATTCAACAATTATGGGCAGTCAATGGAAAAGGACACAACAAATTAATATCTTGGTTCATAAGAAAATTGATCAATTGTTTGGCCATCAAAATAGACTTTCTTATCTTAGACCATAAAGTTCACTTTGTCTTCACATAGAGAAAAAGAGTGTATCATCTACTAATCAAAATGAAGAGAATTTCTAGCATTAAAAGAAATCATACCTCGTGTTTAATTGAACGATCTGCATCTTTGAGCAGTTCGCCATAATTTTTCACCATATATTCCATGTCACCTGCAATATATTCCTCTAGCGGGATAGATGCCTCGTGCCCCCTCAATTTTACCAAATTAAAATCCCATATCTGTACATCCAAATACAGAATGAATCTAGTTCAATTTCTTGGGGAAGGATCGAATATATTAAAATTGGGCAATAGACGGGTGCAGGAACATATCAAAATCTTCGGTGATACCCTAAAAAAAGAAGTTGTAATATTTGGCTTGGAACACATGTTTACTGGAATAGGTTTTAATTTACTGTCTGTTTTGCCAAGGACGCTTAACATCATTTCATCAAATCATTCCATCCATTAACATCATAAAATACGAGGTTCATCTTCAAAGAATTGATCAAATTTGTTCAGAAGCACTAACAAAATAATTCAAGAAAACACAAATTTTAGCAATTCACCAAACAATTTAATGTAATTCTTTAGAACAAAACCTGCGCGCCATGATCAGATGTGCCAGCATTCCACATGTTTCCATCCATCATTCTGTAATTCTCCTTTGGATCGTCTGGTGTAGTCTGCATTTTTAGCAAGGATGTAAAGCCTCTATTTTGCTGCCAACTCATATACCCCTGATGCCACCCACAGCTCTCACTCCCGCTCGGCGTCCCAGGCATCGCCTCCTCCAGACCACCGCCACTGCCGCTGCAGCCATCAGGCAATCCACTTTTATGCAATTCTATTAATTGCTTCAAGATCACCTGCTTCTGCTTCCCGCAGGTTGGGATCCTCTTCTTTGTGATCAATCCATCCCCATAATTAGAGTAAAATACAGAATTGTCATTAGGCACCATCAGCTCCTGCAGCATCATTGAACTGGGTACGGCCCCGTCCTTACAAAACCACGACTCTAACAGCCCAGTTTCCAACCCGAGATTACCCGATGAACTCAGTTGATGAGTTAGTTTTCTATCTTCGATTTCCAGTCCCCACGCCACCGCCAGGTCAAGGGCCGACAGGCAGCCGGAGAAGGGCTGAATCGGGCTTCGATCATGGGAGGCGGACACTACACAGCTTCCATGGGCATCCCAGTCACAATCTTGGCACAGTACGAGATTATCCGTGGCGCAGTGGGTGGAGACCGGCTCGGAGCCGCAGTTATCACAGATCTGCTGGCGGAGGTGCTTCTTGGAGAGGTCGTTGGCCGAGTGCACATGGTGGTCACATGACAAACACAGCTTAGCTGAATCCGCCCGGCAGTAGAGCACCGCCACCTGATCACTGCAAAAATCGCACGCCACTCGACCCCTCCCTTCCATTCACAATATTCTAACACGAATTTAATGTTTTCTCCTTTGCAATTGTTAGTTCAGATTGGAGGAATCTATAAGATTACATAATGAAGAAGCAATCTATATATAAGCTGCTATGAATTTGAATAAAAAATATATATAGATCGTACCTTTTTGGTAAGGTGGCATGGTGACATCTTTTTCATTGCTATATAAGTACTTATCCCACCTAAATCAAATTGTTAATTAATTATCTAACATGGATGATCCATTAAATTAATAACTTAAAGTCTTTTTAGTTCAAACTCAATTTAGCTCAATTAATTTAAAGTAAATTACATAAGTTTTAACTAAATAGAGTTTATTTTTCATGCTAAAATACTTGTATTATTTATCGATTTAAAGTCGATTTAACATAGTATTAATATTGCGAGTTAGCTAAGTACTAAGTTTAACATAAAAAATTATTTATTTCGAAAGTTAAGATAAGATTTAGGAATGAGATGGACCAACGAGCAAGCAGATAAGAACGGACGTATTTCTAGTTAATTAGTGGAACATCACAGAGCAAAAATTAATTTTTAAAAAGGTAATGCATCTGTACAAGTTAAAATCGATTTGATGTGGATGGGATTGGGATTGGGATGTCGAACCAAAACAATTAATTGATTGATTTTATCAATCATACTCTTGTAAATTACTTAATTGGTCATTAATGACATTCAAGTAATGTATCTTCTCTTCTCTTCAATAAGGGGATGTAAAGAAAAAGCTGAAAACAAAAAGTAATCTTAATTATTGTGATTGATGGATTTGATGGGGCCAAATTGTGAAGATAATCATAGATTAGTGGACCCAACATTCTATTCATTAATTAAGTGCCTCATTGGGCTCCACCCTACCAAGAAAATGCATTTTGAAATAGTAAAAAATTGAAAAATGTGTAATTGAAAAATAAAAAAAAATTTAGAGTTTACGTATAAAATTATTTATGTAAAAATATGTAGTTAAAAATGAGCGTTGAAATAATAAATTTTGAGAATAATAGAGCTCAAACAGGAAATATAAGTAAATAATATGTACTTTTTCTATTTATTTTCTCTAGAAAATGAAAAAAACGAGATAGTATCGGTAAAATAAGTTAGGTCCACAGTCGTCACTCATGACATAATTTTTTGGATATTTTTCGTCAACCAGCCTTTGAATATTCTTTTCTTTTATTTATTAGTTCTTTGGTTATACATTCACATATTTTTCTCATTTTTTATTGACATATATAACGTGCGAGCTCCTAACTTCGAGGAAAATATGTTTACACACATTATTAACCATGTTGGATTATTCACAACGTAAATACACCGTAAAATTTGTATGAACTAAAATTATTTTCAATTACGTATTTTTTTTTACATAAATTCAAAATTTTTCTTTATTTTTTAACTGAACATTCTTTTTAAAATCACTTCATATAAAATTCGTTCTAAAAAATAGAGCTCAATCGGGGGGCACGATGTTTGGTTGACTTTCATGTTAGAATATAAATATTATCGTTAGAAAAGATAAATGTCACTGTTGAATCGAAGTTCAAACCCTACTTTAACTATTTAACTAATTTTTCATTAATATAATAATAGAAAC